GATTGCTTGAGCCCAAGAGTCTCAGGTTGCTGTGAGCTAAGATGCCACAGCACTCTACCAAGAGCAAAAATTGAGACTCTATCTCAAATAAATAAATAAATAAATCTCAGGAGTCTTTTCTGAATCCCCATGGTCAGGTCTGTGGGAAGAGGAAAAACCACACAGCATGGCCTGACACAGTGGTCAGTCATGTGAGGTCACAACCCACATGGGGGCATTGGCTTGTCCTTAAGAGCTCCTGGAAAGTGCTTCCCTAAGGACTGGCACTTGGTCACCTGAATCAGGAGAGGGAACGGCAACAGAGCACCTGGGTGGAAGGCGTCCTTCATGTTAGGGGAGAGGGTTCGCACCTCGAGATCTTACCTAGCAGCCTTTGTCCTGCTCTCCATCTTTAATGGTGTATAACACAGCAAAGTGAACGCATTTTAGTTCTATTTAAAGATGAGCCAAACACTGAAAATAATCAGGAAATGCTTCCCACTCTTGTCCCCTCCCTGGGGGCTGCGATTCCTGGTTCTACTTGCCCTTCTAAGGGCGGTTATGACTTTCAATCACAGCATCCACTCAGAAAGAGAGAACAAAGCCCCTGCCTGAGCCTCCACCTCCCTGGGCCTTGCCTTCTAGGTGCCCTTGGCTCTTGCCTGGACTCTTGAACTTGCCACCTGGTCATGCAGAAATTGCTTCCACGAGGAAGAAAACATTTATCATCTAGCACTAAAAACATGAGGAGTCACTAGGGCAGCCCCAGAATGTGCTCCATTCCATCCTCCACAGATCTCGGTGAGGGTTGGCAGGAAGGCAGAGACTCTGAGCTCCCCACAGGGTAGGATGGCAGTGGGGGGCTCTATAGCCTCCATTCTCCCAGAGGCCCCCGTGACAGACATCACTGATTGCCACGGTTCTCTTCCCCCAGATCAAACCCAGCTGAGAGGTCTAGGAATTTATTTCAATAAGCTTTGTTGAGATAATATCAATAATAATAGCACTGTCTGTCATAGGAAGAGTAACAACATCTCTCAAGCACTTGCCTTGTGCCAGCGAAGTGCATCACCTACATTCCCTTGTTTGATTCTCCTGCCAAACGCCGAGGCTTAGCAGGATAGATAATCCACTCAGGTCACATCGCTTGAAAATAAAGAGTTGCTTTTCAGAGCTAAACTGATGTGCTTCCCAAGTCAGACCTCACTACCACAATCAACGGCCCCTCCAGAAATCGTGTCTGTGATTATCAGTATCTTTCTTGTACAGTGATTTTAAAATTTGCTTAGAGGAACCTACCCCTGAGAGAGCCCAGGGCTGCTGGGCCCAGGCAGAGGAGGGCAGCTGCAAGCAAGTGCCCACCCATCTCGGCCTCCATCCTTTTCTCCTCCATCAGAGTATCCACACCACACTGGAGGTGCCCACACCACGAGCAATTGTTAAAGAGATTTTGAAAATGGCCAGGTGTGGTGGCTCACACCTGGAATCCCAGCACTCTGGGAGGCTGGGTGGGTGGATTGCTGGAGCTCAGGAGCTCAAGATGAGCGTGAGCAAGAGCGAGACCCCGCTTCTACAAAAACAGAAAAACCAGCAGGTGTTGCAGTGGACACCTGTAGTCCCAGCTACTCAGGAGGCTGAGGCAAAAGGATCTCTGAAACCCTGGGGTTTGAGGTTGCTGTGAGCTATGACACCATAGCACTCTACCTTAGGGCTACAGAGTGAGACTCTGTCTCCAAAAAAAGAGAAAAAAAGAAAAAAATTTTGAAACCACCCTTTTGAAGTGGGTCTGTATGACCAATGGAGACTTATAACATGGACAGAATCCCAGCTCCTCTATTTTGAGGCAGGTTTCTAACTTCCCTCCGCAACCCCCTTCCAGTCCGGCTCCTCAGCCCTGCGGCTGAGCGTCTGGCACTGAGACATATGTGTCCCGTTGCTGCTCGCAGGTTATGGTTAGACTCAGAATAATTTCTCCCCTGATGCCCACACTGTACAGAAGGGAAAGACGGCAAACAGGTGCATTCAGAACAGGCTTCCTCAGGGAATAAAGGAGGCTGCCGCTTCCGCAGTGTCAACATGCGTGAGAGCACAGGCGTGACTCTAGTCCCTGCAAGCTGCATCTCCAACCTAATATTAAGGGCCGCCTCCTTCCCACATTTACTCAGAAAGCTAAATAGAAAGCGCCCCCCTACCCCCGTTTCCTTCCCCATCACTCCTACTAAACACCGAGGAGCACGAAGTCCTCCGGGGTGGCAACCAAGCCACAACATGGTGGGAACTTGTCACCACTAAGAACACTGGCCTTTTGTTTTAAATTTTCATGCAATCCTATTCCTTGATAGATCTATATTTTTTCTCCACGTAAACTAAGGAGTTTTCTCTCCAAATCTCCGGATGCAGTTGACATTAGAACAGCTTCTATTACCCTCGGCATAGACGCTTGCTCCAGTTGAAAATATATCTCCATGAGGCGTAACTCAGGTTCACATTTTATCCTCTCTCAGTTCCACAGCTATAAAGATTAAAATATGTTGAAGCAGCCAGGCCCATATGCATGGCTCTTGTATGAATGTACAAAAAAGACTTTCAGAGCCAACCATGAACTTGGGGAGCATTTCCCTTTATTTGCAAGGAAATCGAGGCTCTCAGAGGTGACATGACCTTCTCAAGGTCCTTCAGCTTGTGACCCACAGTTGTCCTGTCACATAGCCTCACTCTGAATTAGGAGTATCCCCAGACAACATTTGATCTTAGGGCCTTTCTGGATTCTCAGAAGAAAAAGCAGCAAGAGGCCAAAATCTATACTACTAGGTAATATTCCAGGCTGGTCCTGGGCCACACCTCAAGATTCAACGTAGCTAAAAAATAGAACTTGCTGGGCTGCAACTTTCTCTAACATTGAAGGTCCAAGTTCTGATAAATGGAGGCTGTCCTGAAAGTCACTGTACGCAGAGAAAATGGGAAACTGTAGCTAAATGTACCTTTATTTACAAAATATTTGTTACAAAATGTAACGAAATATTTACAAAACATTATCTACACGCAGGCCGCCTCTTTCTGAACACACACACACACACACACACACAATTTTGTCTCCCACTCACGGGGAACACTTCCCCAGACATCTGCAATGTTTCCTGCGTGTGGAGGCTTCGGACACCGTGTATTCAGAGAGTAGAAACACTGTCCAAGTTTAGAGGTCTGAAAGTGTTTCAAGCCCATTCCAACTTGCAGATTTTCTTGAGCAAGAGAAAAATTAAAAAAAAAAAAGAAGAAGGAAGGAGAGACAGAAAGGAAGGAGATGAAAGGAAGGGAAAGGAAAAGAAAAAGGGAAGAAAGAAAAAGGCTGAGAAAAGTCGGTGCTAGAGAATGCAAATCCTAAGGAGAGGACGTGAGTTCACAGAGTACAGCTGACATGCAAATCCTTATGTTCCTTGATATAGAATTACAATCCTTTTGATGTCAAATCTGAAGAAATGCCATGTTCAAAAGCTAAGCCTCTCTTAGTTAAATATGCAAAGAGGCACCAAAACCAGGATAATCCTGGAGTTTACACCTTGTCTTTAATCAGTGGAGCATGACTCTAATAGTATTATGTCTGCTCACTCTACACTGGGGCCACCTGTTCCTAAATAGATTGGGGCTCAATTTGGATTTACATCCTCCACTCCCTCCTGGGTATCAAGGGACCTGATCCCCTAAACACCCCCTGGGTGGTGCTGGGACACAGCAGAGATGAATCATAGGAGGAACCGTCACACTGGGGACTCTTAGACTGGAGACGGGGCTGAGGTTGTCTTCTAAGCGGAGAAATACTGACGTGTTTATCTTCTCTTAATCCAGAAAGGTTGTATTTTTTTCCTTAGGTTAACTTGTCCTAATCACTGCTATGTTTTACTAGCAATATTTGTTTGTCTGTTAAAAACCAGCTGCCTTTTATAGTCAATATTCTCAGAACTTCCGAATACTTGCTTTGTTCAATGCACTTCTGAGGACATGAATGTTAGGTAGACAAGTCTTCTTTCTGCGGGAGCACAGCATTTTAAAGAGGTATTTCTCAGTCTGATCTCAGTATCACCGGTGTCAGAACCAACTGGGCTGCTCTTTAAATTCTTATTCCCATTACTGCCCATAAATTCTGATTCAGGAGATCTGGGATCCCAGAAACCTAAACTTGTTCATATCACTCCAGATAATTCTAATGCATCAGAACTCATGATTTAAAAAAAAAAGAAGAATTTAGTAACGCATGCAGGCTATTTCATCACTTCTGCAAACAAGGCTAGAAGCTGGGTATTATCATGTCAATGTTAAAGATTATAAAACTATTGCTAAAAATCATAAATACATATATTGCCCACAGTAACTCAGCTAAAATGTGACAGTCCAAGATATAAACTCAGATGTGTTTCATACACACCACTGATGATAAAGTACAGAAGAATAAAATAGATTCAAAGCCAGTGGCCATAAGATCACAAGGAAAGGAAAACTTCATTCTGATGAAGAGGCCCAGGAAAGAGTCTACCTGATGGGAGGTGAACCAGAGGGTCACAGGCAAAGGCATGAAGGAGAAATGGGAGACTCAAGCAACTGCCTAGTCTAGGGTCGGGCTGGGAACGGGAGATGAGCCTAGAAGGGAAGGTTGGACAGACCGTGAAGGTTTTGAAGGCCAGTGAGGAGTCTGCGGCGGGTTTATGGAAAGACAGTGAAGATCTAAGGAGGGTCACGTCTTTGTTTCTGGGGAATCACTTGGGAAGCATCACACACGAACACAGATACAAAGACAATCCGGGTGGGAACACTGGTGAAGATGTCCCTATAGAAATCCAGGCTGTGTAAGCCTGAGTCCCTGAATTCGACAGTAGAGAAAATGATCAGTAGAATTCCTATAACAGTCTGAATTGAATTCATCCCATTACTTATTGTAAAAACAAACTGTTTGCTTTTCCTATAGGTAGTATACAGAAACAGCAGTTCTCATTTCTAGTGCAGCAAAAGTCTAATTTAGATAAGACAAAAGGTAGAAAATTAAAAATATTCAATAGATTTGGGGAAAAAAATGAGTAATACATCACAATGACACTTACATGGACAATGAAGCCCGGTGTGTACCAGACGCGGTAGGCAGCCTGGAGTTTACAGAAACAGCCAGGATACTGCGACTCAAGCTTATTTCAGATCAAGGTGCTCAAGCTGTCCTCTGAGTGTATTTTGATGCCCAAAACTCTAAAATGTGATGCTTTCTAAACATTTGACATCCAAGAGGTAGGGTATGTTTATTAGAGTCCCAAGCACCTGACTGGCCCTGTGTGACTCAAGAACACAAGGAAACCCTTTCTTCTCCATTCCATTCCGGTCCTGGGCTGAGACCCAGACTTGCAGGCTACTTGCAGCCTACTCACAGGTTTACAGGCTTCTCATTGAGGGCAATCTGTGAGCGTGAGGT